GGAGGAGGAGATGGTGGTGGGCTGCCCTCCCCCTGCTGCCAGGGCGCTTCCGTCACAACTCGGTCGCGCTTCAAGTTGCGCGTCGACCCCAGACCCCCGACAGTCTTGACTTGTTCACCACGTCGACCGCCAGAGGTCTGGACCCCTTCCCCGGGACCAGTTCTGCATCTTGAGTCCTTGTTCGACGGTCCCGGGGCCCGGCAAGAGCCCCCAGAGGCCGAAGATGGCGAAAAGCCTCCCGTCGTGCTTCTTCTCTTCTTCCACGCCGCGAGGAGGCCTGGGACTTCCCCCCTACGTGGCGCTCCGTATAGCCGTTCCGGCTCGAGAGCGAGCGCCGCGCTCCCGCCGGCCGCGCGCGCCCGCGCGGGGCGCGGGAGCGGGGCCCGCATGGCCGCGGCGGCGCCGAGCGGCGCCGCCGGCGCCGTCGCGAGGGGTGCCGGGGCCCCCCGCTGCCCCTGCGGGCGGACGCCGGCGGCGCGCGGCACGGCGCCCAACGCCGCCCGGCGCCGCCCGCGGCGCGGGCGGTGCCGCAGGACCGCCCGGGCGCCGCCCACGCCGGCTGCTCCCAGGTGCCACGGGCGGCGAGCACGGAGGTCCGAGGAGCCCAGGAAGCTTCGCGTCGCTGAGAAGTCCGGGCGGCACGTTTTGCGCCAGGTTCGGCCCCATGTGGGGGCCCTCGCCGGGCCACGGGGCCGTCAAGGGACGATTCAGGAGGAAGAGCCGGCCCCGGGGAAGAAAAAGGAGGGTGCGGACTTCCGGGGGTGCCGCGCGGACGAAATCAGGGCGTCGCGCATGTTTGGGATAGGATCTGTTACCAGCGCGGCGGTGCTGGCCTCCCGGGCCCGTTTCGCACGCCCGGGGGCCAGCAAGCATGGATCCAGGACGAAAAAAAGCACCCCCGGGGAAGGGGTCGGGACCTCCTGGGGCCGCGGATCGAAAAAGTCATGGCGGCGGATGTCTGGGCACGCCGACGGCTCCCGGGTTCGCGGGCGGCGAACGTATGGCCGCACCCGCGCCCTCGCAGCCTGGATCCCGGCGCGCTGTCCCGCGGATACGCGGTCGTACACAGGTGCGCTCCGCGCGGGGCATCCGCGCAGCAGCGCCCCGTGTCCGCGGGGTCGCGGCCCAGGGGCCCGGCCCCGGAGGCCGCAGATGCGGATATGTTCTCCTCGCCCACGACAGGCGTCCCCGTCCCCGGGGCGGTGCACGTCCGCCGGCTCCGAGGCGGGCCCCTCGCCACGGGCGCGGGCCTCGCCCTCCTCGTCGCCCCGCCGCCTCGGCTGCTGCAGGCGCGGCAGCGCCGCAGGTGTGCCCCACGAGGACCTGCTGAACCTGGAGCACCACGGCAGCGGCGCTTCCAGGCCGTCGCGCCCCACCGACGGCGGCGCACGGGGCGCACGGGCGGCCTGCCGCCGCGCGGAGGGCGCCCGCCCCGCGCACCTCGGGCCGCCCCTCGCGGAGCAGCTCCGAGCGTTGCGCTTCGAGCTGTCCCGGGAGTGCCACTGCGGCACCGCCTTCCCGGGCCGGACGACAGGGGGGCATTGGGCAAGGGGGGGTTACGAAATGTGCTGCATGCAGCTGGTTTCGGCCCCACGGAGGGGCCCACTCTGCGATACCTAGCCGCCTCCGGCGCCGGGAGGCGCCGGGAAGATCAGCTGCGTGAGCTGATTCTCAAACTCCCCCATTACTATCCCCCCCCCTTTCGCCCGACCCGATCTTCGAGGGCAGCGAGCGCATCTGCTCCGGGTGCTCCGCGAGGCGGCGCAGGAGCAGGGTGGGCGGCGGCTGCGGCAGCCCGACGCAGGCGCACCGCATGCAGGTGCCCGCGTCGACGGGCCACCCCACGATCTGGGCGCACCGGGGCCTGCCGAGGTGGTGCCCCGAGAACACCCAGGTCGACTACACTGAAGTCGGGCCCGTCCCTCCACAGGGGGAACATTCACAAGCAGTTTAAAGATAGTCTGGGGACTATGTTTTCCGCATTTTCGGGCAACTTTTGAGCATTTCTGGGGTATGTTTAACCTTTCGTGCAAAATCCCCCTGTAAGGGGACAGGTCCGACTTACGATTACACGTAAGAGTGACCCTTCGCCGGAGTGGCCTTTGGTGCGGGCACATTGGGATCCCCCGATCGCCGAACGCGAGGCGGCAGTGGCGTCCTGTGCGCGTGTGTTTGGGCCCCCCCCCAAAAGCCGCGCACCAAAGGTCACTCTTGCCCAGGGCTACACTTGCGTGTAGCCGACCAGGTCTCCTTCCGCCATGCCTTGGAGGACGGAGCACATGGCATCTGGGCAGAGGTGCACCTCACGGCGGACAATCAGCTGGTGTGCCTCTCGGACGACACGGTAGATCGGACCACGAATGGGTCTGGCGCCATCCGCGCGCTGCCCTTCGCCGCCGCGCGCTCGCTGGAGGCGGGCCTGCACCGCGGCCGCGAGTTCCAGGGCGAGAAGATCCCGCGACTGGACGAGGTGCTGCGGCTGGCGCTGGAGAGCCACCGCTGGCGGGCGCCCGGCAGGAAGGTGGTCCTCGAGCTCGCCGGGCCGATGTCCGGGCTGCACGGCCTGGGCCGGGCAGCAGCGTGGGCCGGGCTATTCCGGGACTGCCCCGCGTACGAGTCGCTGCCGCGGCACTTGGTCGCCGCCCTCACAGGCCACGGGAGGGAGGTGGCAGACGGCAGAATCATGGTGGCCTCCTTCCACAGGCCATACCTGGAGGAGCTCCAGCGGCTGCGCCCTGCCCTGTGCCAGGAGCTTCCCCTCGTCTACCTCTCCCACGCCGCCGCCCAGGGCTGGCTCGAGAGGGAGGACCTCGAGAACTGCAGGGTGGCTGACGGCGTCTGCGTGCCGCTGTCGCTCCTGACGGCAGATGTCGTGGCGAAGCTCAGGAAGCACCACGACTTGGTCCTCGGCTGGGAGGAAGGCGGCTCTGGCGCTAATCTAGAGCGTGCCTTGTCCCTCGGCATCGACGGCATCAGGACCACGAACGCGGACCTCGCAGCGGAGGTGTTCCAGAGGGTAGGGCTCAAGTCGGTGCGGAGTGACTGCCACGGTTGGGGAGGGCCCAAGCCACGGTCTGGACGAAGAGAGGAACCCGAGAGTTTCCTCAACCTCATCGGCACCAGCTGCTGCTACGCAAGGGACTGACTGAGGCGGGCGACCTGGAGGCAAAGTACCGAGAGTCAGGAAGGGTTGAATGCACTAGAGTCTGGCCACGCAGAGCAAGTGCTCGGGGGGTGCGCGGCCGAGGGGGGAGCAAGGGCTGTGAGTCGCCAGGCCCCCTCTTTGCCTTTGCCACCCCTCCCCCTTCTCGTCCCCCCTCTCGCCCACCTTCTTACCCCTCCTTGACACATACTGCTCCCCCATGCCGCACGTTCATCTCAATACGTTTCACGTCCTGTAACTTTATGAAGAGACCGCGGGTGACCCAGCATACAGTCTGGGCTGCGCGCTCTGTGCAGTCGGTGGGCCGTGTCATCATGAGGCACCCCACTCGTAGCCAGGGAGCGTGCCCAGCTCATTAGGGGCCACTCTGTGAAGTTGGCCGCGGCGGCAATTATTGATTGCATCCTCTGGACCTTCCTGCCCCCCTCCCTCCCCTCGTAACTTTTGTCATACAATGTGTCTCGCATTGCATGTTGTCCAGACACGCAGGCCAAGGCCTTGCTCACCTGGTCTCAGCCAGGCCCGAAAGATGTCCGCAGCGGTAGTAGCATCGTATCGTATCCTCTGGCCGCGGCGGACTATATATATATATATATATATATATGTGTGTATATATATATATATATGCACACACACATACATATAAAGGCGCACCAGGTCCCGGCGCCCGGGGCCGGCGCCGCTACCACAAATGTGGGCTCCGGGGCCCTCGGGGAGCCCCGGGGCCTCACAGAAGGCCGCCAGAAGACGCCAAGGAGGCCCCAAGAGGCTCCAGAACAGACCCGGGACGCCCGAACGTCGCTCCCAGACGCCCAACATGGCCTCCAAGGCGGCTTCAGAAGCCCCCAAGACACGACAAGCGACCCACAATAGGGCCCCAAAGAGAACCCCAAGGGGCCAAAATAGCCCCATTCCCTCCGTAAAACGTATATTTCCCAACCATCCTGTGGTGTTGGGTCCTCGTTTTGAAGAGACGTCGCCCCGCGTTCCTTCCTCCTCCTCCTCCTTCCTCCTCCTCCCCTTCCTCCCCCCTCCTCCCCCTCCCACACCCATTCTGGCACACCCCTCACACGTTTCGTGGCCCCATAGGGAGCTCCACCGAAGGCCCCAGTGGCTGCGCCCGCATGCGGTTCCACCCCCATTTGGCACACCCCTCACACGTTTCGTGGCCCCATAGGGAGCTCCACCGAAGGCCCCAGTGGCTGCGCCCGCATGCGGTTCCACCCCCCATTTTGGCACACCCCTCACACGTTTCGTGGCCCCATAGGGAGCTCCACCGAAGGCCCCAGTGGCTGCGCCCGCATGCGGTTCCACCCCCCATTCTGGCACACCCCTCACACGTTTCGTGGCCCCATAGGGAGCTCCACCGAAGGCCCCAGTGGCTGCGCCCGCATGCGGTTCCACCCCCCATTCTGGCACACCCCTCACACGTTTCGTGGCCCCATAGGGAGCTCCACCGAAGGCCCCAGTGGCTGCGCCCGCATGCGGTTCCACCCCCCGTTCTGGCACACCCCTCAAACGTTTCGTGGCCCCATAGGGAGCTCCACCGAAGGCCCCACTGGCTGCGCCCGCATGCGGTTCCAACCCCCCATTTCGGCACACCCCTCACACGCTTCGTGGGTGGCTCCATGGGGAGCTCCACCGAACGCCCCAGTGGCTGCGCTCGCATGTGGTTCCCCCCCCCCCATTTCGGCACACCCCTCACACGGTTCGTGGCCCCATAGAGAGCTCCACCGAAGGCCCCAGTGGCTGCGCTCGCATGCGGTTCCACCCCCTTTTTCGGCACGCCCTTCACACGTCTCGTGGCCCCATAGGGAGCTCCACCGAACGCCGCAGTGGCTGCGCTCGCATGCGGTTCCACCCCCCATTTCGGCACACCCCTCACACGTTTCGTGGCTCCATAGGGAGCTCCACCGAAGGCCCCAGTGGCTGCGCTGGCATGCGGTTCCACACCCCATTCTGGCACACCCCTCGCACGCTTCGTGGCCCCATAGGGGGCTCCACCAAAGGTCCCAGTGGCACTGCCCGCTTGCGTCCGCCACCACCCAGCACAGCCCTTGTTCCCTGCGCTTCACCCACCCAGAACAGCGCTTTGTAGCCCTATAGGGAGCTCCACCAAAGGTCCCAGCGGCACCGCCCGCATGCGGCCGCCACCACCCTGCGCAGCCCTTGCTCCCTGCCTGCGTTTCACCCACCCAGTACAGCGTTTCGTGGCCCCATAGGGAGCTCCATCGAAGGTCCCAGTGGCACCGCTCGCATGCGTCCGCCACCACGCAGCACAGCCCTTGCTGACCGCGTCTCACCCACCCAGTACAGCGCTTCGTGGCCCCATAGGGAGCTCCACCGAAGGTCCCAGTAGCACCGCCCGCATGCGTCCGCCACCACCCAGCACAATTGCGGCATTCACAACTGCATATGGTTGGGTCCTTCGCCAGGCTAATTTTAACAGATTGCTTGTTTTCGCTGTCGGTCCGTGCTTGACGACCTCAGAAGCTCCCAAGACCGCCCCAATACGGCCCAGGACGCGCCCCAGAGGGCCCCAATACAGCCCCAGAAAGCTCCAGGACGGCCCACGAAGGGCCCAAGACGGCCCTAGAGAGTCCCCAAGACGGGCCCGAGAGGGCCCCAGAGGAGGAAAGCCACCATCGAATTCCAAGATTTCGACCCCAAGTGGCTCCAGGAGGCGCCGAGAAGCCCCCAAGAAGCACCCGGAAGGCTCCCAAAAGCACCCCAAGACGCTCCGAGAGGCACCCCAAGAGAGCTCCAAGCAAGAATCGCCCCGTTCCTTTGGGAAAACGCATATTTTTCGTATGTTCGCCTGTTGGGCTGTCATCGCGTCCAAGACGGCCCAAGGGGTTCCCAAGACGGCCTAGGAGGCCCCCAAAAGAGCTCCAGGACGGGCCACGAGAAGCCCAGGACGGCCCAATGGGCCCCCACGAAGGCCCAAGAGAGCCCCAAGACGCTCCCGAGAGGAGTCCTAGAGCAAGAAAGCCACTCTCGAATTCCGAGCTTTCGGCCCCAAGAGATCCCAGGAGGCGCCGAGACGCCCCCAAGAGGCCCCAAGCAGGCCCCCAAAAGCACCCCAAGATGCTCCAAGAGGCACCCCAAGAGAGCCCAAAGAAACTAAAATCCTTCCATTCCTATGGGAAAACGTATATGTTTCGCATGCTCGCCTTTTGGGCTGGCACCGCGTCCAAGACGGCCCAAGAGGCCCCCAAAAAACGGCTTAGGAGGCCCCCAAGAAATCTCCAAGACGGCCTACGAGGAACGCAGGACGGCCCAATCGGCCCCCAAGACGGCCCAAGAGAAGCCCAAGAAGCGCCCGAGAGGGGTCCCAGAAGAAGACAGCCACTTTCGATTTCCGAGCTTTCGGTCCCAAAAGCCCCCAGGAGGCGCCGATAGGCCCCCCAGAGGCCCCAAGAGGCCCCCAAAGCACCCCAAGACGCACCCAGGAGGCCTCCAAGAGGCCCCCAAGAGGCTCGTAACTTGGATCTAGTGCGCCGGCGAGAGAGGCATCCAAGATGCCATGCGAACCTTCTCTCTGGGGCCGTAGGTGGATCTTCTTGTGGGCCAAGACCCGTGTCAGGGGTGTGCCGACTCGGGTGGATCGGACGCGAACATTGCCGGGGGCCGTCGGTTGAAGTCCCTGTTCGGCACGACCCGTTCGAGGTGCGAGCCGGAATATGCGGGAGACGAGGAGGACATGCAGAAGGAGAGGAGGGACAAAAGGAGGAGGGATAAGAGGAGGGAAAGGAAGGGGCACTCGACCCCGGAGGTCTCTGGGAGCACCCGGCCCCATCTTCGATATTGATTTCGCGTCGTGGGCTCGTTTCCGAGGGCCCGGGGGCTGGGGGCCGGCGCCACGACCACAAATACGGGGCCAGGGCGTAATTTTCCTTGTGACCTGGGGCCAACAGGGCCCCAAGAGGTTGCAGGGAGGCCCCGGGAGGCCGCAGCGATGGCTCCAGACGCCTTTCAAGACGACTCCCATGACGCCAAGAAGGCTCCCGAAGGCCCCGAAGACGCCCCAAGAGGCACCCCGAGAGAGCCCCAGTAAGCAAACATCGTCGATTTCCGATGGGAGAATTTATATTTTTGGCGTGTTCGCCTTTTGGGCTTCCACTGCGTCCAAGACGGCCCAAGAGGCACCCAAGCCGGTCGAGGATGCCCCCAAGAAGGCCCCAAGACGACCCACGAGGGGGCCAAGACGGCCCACGAGGCGCCCAAACCGCCCAAGAACGCCCCGAGTCGGCGCCCAAGACGGGGACGAGGAACCGGAAATTCGCGCTTGTTGGCCCAAGAGAAACCCAGGAGACCCCAAGAGGCTCCAAGAAGGGGCCCAGAAGCCCCAAGAGGCCCCCATGAGACCCGAAAACATACATCAAAAGAGGCCTCGAAGACGCCCCAAGAGGCACCCCAATAGAGCCCAAATAAGCAAACATCGTCGATTTCCGATGGGAGAATTTATATTTTTGGCGTGTTCGCCTTTTGGGCTTCCACTGCGTCCAAGACGGCCCAAGAGGCACCCAAGCCAGTCGAGGATGCCCCCAAGAGGGCTCCAAGACGACCCACGAGGGGGCCAAGACGGCCCACGAGGCGCCCAAACCGCCCAAGAACGCCCCGAGTCGGAGCCCAAGACGGGGACGAGGAACCGAAGATTCGAGCGTTTTGGCCCAAGAGGCCCCCAGGAGACCCCAAGAGGCTCCAAGAAGCGCCCAAGAAGCCCCAACAGGCCCCCAAAAAGAACCGCAAAAACATTCAAAGAGGCCCCGAAACAGCCCCGCAATGGGCCCCTCAAAACGGCCCAAGAGAGCCCCAGGGCGTGCCCAAGAGGGTCGACCAGAGAGCTGGTCCGACTTCCCACACTCTACACAAGGTCCGTCCCCGGCGGTGCCTCAAGCAGGTGTTGCCCCTGGAGTCCGCACTTGCCTGAGAAACTCCAAACATTTGTTCGCACACCTTTTCCTGTGTCTGTGACACGC